ACTGTCCGTGAAGGCAGGGGTGATGCTTGCTGCAAACCGGGGCGGGGGGGCGCAGCACTGAGCCCTCAGCGTAACGGTCCCCGGCGGCCGTTAATGGTCGGTAACCGCCGCCTGGTGGTCCCGATTGGCGCTGACCGCCCTCACCTGCTGCTGAGGGGAGCCCGTGTGGAGCGGGAGCGGCTCCGGGCGCTGCCGGGCGGGACAAGGAGCGGTCTGTGTGATGAATGCTGAGGCGGGAAGATGGAGTCTTGTGTGCAACATGAGGCCCCCTCGTCCTGCCCAGGGCGGGCTGGCGTCGAAGGCCGTGAGGGACGTTCGCCATGTTGTGTGTGCCGGGCCAGCCTGGCGTGAGGTGAGTGGTACACGGCTCTGCTCGCGGGCTCTTTCCTCCTTTTCCTCTCTCTGGCCCATGTCGCTCTAACGCTGACTCCCTGTGGTGTAGCAACCAAGGAAATGGAGTTCCAGCTCAGGTTTGGTTGGGCTGTTTGTTTGTTTTTTCTCTTGGGGATTGAACCTTGCTGGACGTTGTAGTCAGTGCTAGGGGCTGCGATATCCCGTGCAACATCAGCAGTCACCATGGCCTCCAAGGGGGGACACGGTTCCACTGAGGAGCGTACTCTGGAGATGCCCAAATTGACGCTTCATGAGGCACCTGACACTCAAATCTCTTGACTTTTAAGTACTGTAGTATTACTGCTGTTGTGTTGCTATTCCCCTACACATCCGAGGAACAACCTTTCCACAGGAATTGAAAACCTGTTTTCTGGCTGTTCTTCCCCAGTATCCTTTTCCCAGAATCAAGATGCAGATGTGTAAGGAAGTAGCACAGTCTCCCCTTCACCCCTTTCTAGTTTCTTTAGGTCAATGATACTGTTATTTTAGCTGGTTTATGCCTGTTGAAGTCCCTTTCCTTTACTGATACATGTAAGGGATGTAAAAGGCCCTTTGCTTTCCAAAGTGTTGCAGAATGAATCCCTCGGCTTCCTGCAGATTCTTAGCTGAATTTACCTGGGTTAGGGGATGTTGCTGGTGCATGTAGGTAGGTACCGACAGTGCTGCAGGCACAGGCCCAGCTGCTGGGAGAGGCTGGACTGGGAGCAGGCACAATCCCAGCCCTGTGCCTGCTCAGCTGCCCGCCTGTCAGCACTGCCGTGGGGTGCTGGGAAACCTTCGGTACTCAGTGTGCCCACAAAGACAGAACAACTGCTGACCTTGGTTTCATTTCCCTGGAGAGGCAGGAGGGGTCCTGACCTCCGCATCATTAAGTCTTGGCACATGAAAGGTAAAAAGCCTTTTTGGCATCACTTGCACCTGTGAAGAATGTGACTAGCCATAGCAATGTGATAATGAATTGCACTGAGCGCAGAGTGATTTGTGTGCCATGGCAGCATGTCTAATCCATAAATCTAGAGCCTGCATATCTTGGCTTCTCCTGGCTTGGAAAGCTGCACGTCACAGATGCTTTCTTTCTCCACTGGCCTGTGGAGGATCTGCTGTGCTGCTGAACGGAGAACTGGCTTCCTTTCTGAAGGGAGGAACTGTCCAAGGCTTCACAGTGGCTTCAAAAGGGAAGCAGTGGTGAAATATGGCAAAGATAAATGCGAGCCATTAAGATGCTTTACAAATAACTTCATAGTATCAAGGCCAGTCCAACACCTGGGCATGCAGAATTGTGGCTACCAGGCCTGCCAGACAGGCTGCTGCATTGCCAAAGGTTCACAGTGCTTCCAAGCAGCTCCTTTTGCTGAAAGACACTGGAAACCAAACCAAAGGAAAGTGTGTTTGCAGCCTCCATTGATGAAGAGCTCCAAACCTGAGGTGTCTGAAAAGCAGGTCAGCACTTCCTAAGTGAAGGACCAAATGGTTGGTAGATGACACTGGGGAAGGCACGCTGGTTCTTCCTACTTTTAAATGCCCTGTTTTTCACCCCACAGTGATGCTTGCATACTTTGCAGAGTAAAAGAAGTCTTGAAAGCAAAGCAAGCTGATTTTGGAGCTTCAAGAATTTTAGCCTAGAATCCCCCAGAGAACCAGTCTTTCAGTCTGTGTACCTTATGGTAATAGTGGTTATGTTTTGCTTGAAGTTTGCTGCAGGTGTTTGTTTACAGATTATCTATTACTGACACCTGGGAACCTACCCCTGTTGTTTTAAATAGACTTTCATAGTTTCTGATCCCTCATATGTAGGATGAAAAGATTGCGTTTGTACGCATACAGAACAGCTTGTTATCATCCACTGCAGGGCTTGGTCACTGAGACAGGCCAGTTCTATGCAACAGTTGGAGATTAAGCAGTGTTGGAGATCATATGGAGGAAAGTCCTAGAGAAGCATGGCATGTCCCTGTCACACACAGTCACAGCTGTATGCTGTGCATGTGCCCACGTGGGAATGTTCAGTGGATGCCCTGGTGGCAGCCTGGTTCGGGATTTGTTGCATTGCTTACAAATTGAAAAACACATACGTCATGGTCATTTATACAAGGCTGCCTGGCCGTCTTCAAACCCCTAATTTCCTTTCAGGATTGAAGTATGCAGGACACCCCAGAGAGATTGCCAAGAAAAGCAGTGCTGATGCCACACCATGGGACATCTTGTCTGTCCTAGGTTACATGGGAGAAGAACTATTTTAGAAATGCTTATAAATGGGATTTAATTTTTTTTAAATATATATTTGCATATGAAAATTGAGACTTCCTCAGGCTCCTAAGCCTGATTTCAGAGGGCTTTAAATGGAGAGTGCACAATGTAAATTAACATGTTTCCACAAGTGATTAGTTGTCTTAGATAAATGTCTTGAAAGCAACAGGTTACAGTGTTAAGGTTTGTTCTGAAGATAGTAGGTGCAGTTTGTTCTGAAGATACTGTATGTCTAGATAAAGGTATATGTTCCCTGGAAGGACAGGTTAGATAACTGCTGGAGGACGTAAAAGATTTAAGTGGGTTTAGATAAAAAAAAAAATAAAAAAAAATCACTCTTAAATCTACAAGTAACTTTTTTCCCTATTTCTTTATATGTTGCATGGTCTGCTTCTGCTCTGAAGTGTTTGTGACTATTGAGAACAGAATATGCTGGGAGGTGTTGCTTTATATTTTCACAGGGGAGGATTAACCTGAGAGGTATGAAACCAAAATGCCAAGAATGCCCTCTGTGGAAACCTAATGGCTTAGGCTATAGCACTGATCTACCGTCCTCCTCTGTAAGAGCTGATGATCACTTCTAAGCTGCCCTGTCTCAGTGCTTTGATGCCGTATCAGTGTCATTCATTTCGCATGGAAACAGAGCTCGTTGCACTACAGTCTCGAGAGCCGTTACCCATATTGACATGTAATTTGGGTTTGCTCGGAAGAGGGCAGCAAATAGCTTTTAATCTCCTCTTTGCTTTTACTAGTAAAGTCACCGTGAGGTGTGGGCCTGAGAGAGGATGAAGGCAAATGTGATGTGTGTCTGCCCAAAGAGGCCAAATGATGCTCTGAACTCAGTTGCCCAAGCAGCAGACATGGCTTTTTTTTAAACCTGTAATTACTAGTTTACGCAGTCATTTTCTTGTTGGCATTCCAAAACTTCAGACTGAAACAGAGAAGGGAGGAAGGTGGGCACTGTCTTGCTATGGCCATGATGGGCATAGTGTTGGTTCTCTGTGGGGTGTTTAGTCTGATGAACTTTGGAGGGATGAAACCTCCCACTTGGTAGGTGGAGAGAAAAAAAACCTTGCCCATCATCAGTGAGTGATGAGAACAGTGAGTGTCTGCTGGCATGCCTGTTGGAGGTGGGAAGGTGTCTGGAGGATGGGTGGGAGGTAAGTGTTCTGAGGATACCCCA